CCCAGCCAGCATGGCTGGCTGGGGAATTCTGGGAGTTGAAGTCCATGCATCTTAAAGTTGCTAAAGTTGAGAAACACTGCTTTAAAGGGAAAAAGCCAGTCCTGGGCTTCCAGTTTTTACTCCAGCCATACCCCTCCTCCTCTAGTGTCCATCCTGGCTCCAATGCTCTATTGATTTCCAGTGGTATGTTATACTGTAGTCAACGTAGGCATTTGCCTAGGGTCCCCCAAAAAGAGGAGCCCCAAAATCATGTTTTCGGAAACTGGTTCTGTCATTCCAGCATCTCTATCCAGCCGCATACATGCCTCTGGAGGGCGTCTCCAGCTTTCCTGAATCAACAGGAATTTCCGGAAGCAACCTCTGGGGCCTCAGGTTAACAAGCCTTCATGTGGTATGCCAAGTCTGCCCCTCTATGTTCCACAGTTATTATTTGAATTTTTAATGGCCCGACGTCCAATGGTATGGCATGATTGGACTGTACCATTTTGTGCATACAAAAAGGGGAGTTTAAATGCAAAACCACATGGTGTATGTACATATGAAATATTAAATATCTATGCACATAAATTATATGTCTCCATGATTTAGTGTGATCTGATGTCTTCTTTAATCGTGTAAGTACATACTTTTTTAATGTAAACGGTATTGTTTGTAAAAATTTTTACAAAACTTTACAATTAACAATGTTAATCATTTTTCCTTAAAATGTTTTTAAAAAAACATGCAAAACTTTAGGCCAGGAATTCATTTGAGTTACTTTTATTGGTTGGAGATGAAGCAAAATGCGTTAGCTTTTATTAAATTAATTTATTAATAGAGATTGGACACTCACACATGTACACTTCCACTATGACAAAGCAAATTGAAAAGTATCCAGAAGCTACAGCTGGTCCAAAATGCAGCCGCATGGGCAATTTCAGGTGCCCCAAAGATGGCACCTGTCACAACTTTGCTGCGCGAGCTACATTGGGTCCCAGTTGCTTCTGGGTCCAGTTCAAGGTGTTGGTTATCACCTTTAAAGCCCTACATGGCGTGGGACCAGGTTACCTGAAGGACCATCTCACCCCCATTATATCTAACTGTCCCACCCGGTCAGGCAGGGAAGGTATGTTGCGGATCCCGTCGATGAAAGAATGTCAACTGGTGGGGCCCAGAAGGAGAGTCTTCTCTGCTGTGGCCCCCGCCCTATGGAATACTCTCCCCCCAGAGGTGAGGCAGGCCCCAATTCTCTTGTCCTTCTGGAAAGCAATCAAGACCTGGCTCTGCCAACTGGCATGGGGCGCGAAAAGGGGCAACCAACTCGGGGTGGCCAGCACCTCGAAGATGCTCTCATATGTTAATATCTTTTCAATCACCAGCATCTTGGAAGATATTATTAATTATGTATGTATTTGGTTTTATTGTATTTTTATACTATTTTTATTCTATTTAACTGATATTTATTTGTTGTTTTTACTGTAAACTGCCCAGAGTCACTTCCTTGTGAGATGGGTGGTGTCTAAATTTGAAATATAAATAAAATAAAAATAATAAAATTAAGTAATCTAGCTACAATGTATACTGAAAATGATGTTACAAAAAATATCAATTATAATCAACTGATACATAATTTTTCATCACAAAAAGCATGAAAAGTGCAATTATTGTTATGATTATGTTGGATTCCAGTATGTTTAATATTTGAAACGGCATTTTTATAAGATACCCTGTTATTCCTCTGTGGTATTACATCAAATTTTTTTGTGTCAAAACTTCAGGGGCCTCTAAATTTTATTTTGCCTAAGACCCCACGCAGGCATAATGTGCCACTGTTGATTTCTGTTCCGTCCCTGTTCCTCTAGATTCCACCCTAGTGTAAACTCAATGTGACTCTTGACCCAATGTTTTGAACGTGCAATTTCAGCTCACTCACCATCAGACACGAAGACATGTAAGCTCGCTATTTGGGGTTGGCTGGCAATCACAACACATCGGTAGACACCCTGGTGCTCCAAGCTGACACTTTCAACCATCAGGGTCGACTGGCCCTCAGCTTCCTCCAGACGGTACTGTGATTGGGCCACTGGGGTTTCCACCCACTGGATTTGGATGTCTTTGCTGCACTCTGTTGTCTGGCATGTAACGCGAAGGGCGTCTCCCATGATTCCTTGGGCAGGCATAGGTACGATAATGGGGTGGCAGGGGTCTCTTGGTTTTTTCATGGCCGCTTCTGTCAGGAAATAGTTGCTTGTGGAAAGAGGCTTGGTAGTAAATTCTTGGTCTGTTAAGAGAGGGACATGCAAAACAATCTTGAGTTTGGTTGAAGGCTCTAAACTTAGTGACAATTCAAGATGGAACTGTGCATGGCTATGGACCTTGTCTCAAATTCTGGAGAGTTTGTCCATAGCTCTGCAAGAGGGTTACCTGTTGGGTAAGAAGATCCAGTGGAGTTGCTCATCACTGTGATGGAGCTGTTATCTGTGGTTAGGGATTCCAGCGTGGGGGTGGCTGTCACTGTAATCACAGATGCCCCAGACGTGGGATGCTTGGTGGAAACAAGAGGGAGAAGGCTAGTGGTTGTCCCAAATGACGACTTCCAGCCAGCTGTGGTTGGTAGCTCTGGAACAGCTGTTTGGCTTGTCCTTCCAGATGTGAGAGAAAGGATGGGGCTCCCTGTAGCACTGAGAATCTCCTGTGTAGCTGTAAACCAAATGTTTAGAATCTTTAAGAGAGGTAGTTTTAAGACTTTAGATCTCCTTTGCTAGATGAATCCATGGGGGCAAGGGGCAACTCTTTCAACTAGAATTGAGTTAGATTTAGCTAGTTAATTTTTGGCTGTTGTTTAAAAAAAAAGAAGCAAAACTGCAAATGAGTGGTACTTTATTTGGAAAGTTACTGATCAGTGGAATTTGGGATAGAAATGAAAATATTTAAAACAGAGGCGTTCTCCAACTGCAAGATTCTCCTGTAATGCTGATTTGGCACAGCCCCTATTTCAAAGTCTGGGGAAAGATGTCAACTGCATGTGAAACTTACATTTGGGGCTGGCGATGGTGATGGCAACTGTTTCTTGGACAAATGTCTGTTGCTCAATCTCCAAAGTTGCCTTGCATTTGTAGACTACATCTTCTGCAACAGTTGGGAGCTCCAGTTCGGAGTGATAGACAAACAGCTGGTCTTGTGCGTCCTCCATTTCCTCCTCCTCTGTCTCCTTTGATGCCTGTAGTTGCTCATCTCCCTGGAACCAACTCATCGTAAAGGCACCATGAGGGTACACGTGGCTCATGGAACAGAACAAGCGAGCAGGCTGCCCAGCAGTCAGCGTCTTGGGCTGGGAGTCCAACCGCAAAGTGTCTGGAAAAGCTGAGAAAGGGGATGCAGGTTAGGAACTCCCATGCACTTTTAAGTGCCAACTCCATCCTGAAGAGGGATGGTATGTTTTCTGTGCTATTGATTAATTGCACAGCATTGTGTTAACTATAATGTTATTCTTATGCCATTTTTTTCTTATTGTTTCGGGAAACATTGGAATCTACCCAGAGGTCTGGGATTATTGGATTAGAAATATAATTACAGGTCCTACTAGGAATAATAGTAGCAACAACCCCCAAAAGAGATTTGCCCAATCACTGCCCATTCCAAAAATGGTAAAGATGCCTTTGAGTCAAGATTGAGTTTTAATGACTACACACACAAGAATGCAGAAGTGATTTCCTTCTTTTCTCCCTTCCTCCTCCCCCTCCCCTCCCCTCCCCTTCAAAATATGTCCAAGAAAACAAACCCACCAGATGCTTTTTTTTGAACTTACAATATACATTCAGCTCCACCTTTTCCTGAGAGGATGTCCCATGGCACCGTCCTGAGCACATCTTTGTCCCCTCCAGGTTAATGGTTGCATTGGTCAGCGTTAGGATGCTCTTTGTGTGGTTAGAAACGATGTTCCCCAAGTCAGTGTCCAGGCCTTCCCACTGCACTTCTGCACCAGGACAATCCATAGAACAGATCAGTTGAATGGTGCCTCCACGTTTCACCAGTGGCTTCTGAGGCTGGATGGTGGGCTTGGGAGCTGGATGACCTGCTTGGGGCAAATGAATAACTTCTTTAGCTCTAGGCACTGAAATGTCTTCCCCAACTGGGCTCGACAGCAACCAACATCACTTTTCAGCTATTGCGTTGTAAGGAGTCAACCCCACGTTCTCTACTTGCTTTGGAATTTTGAATCTGTTAGATGGTTTCAACCCAGATTCTTCCTGAATTCTCTCCCCACCCCCCAAAATACCTCCAATCTGCCAGCAATTACAGGAAGGATTCTTTGCAATGCAGGAGATCCTGGGTTAATCTATGGAATGGAGCATCTACTTATTCTTTGCTTCCTATATCCTGCCTTTCTGTCTTGAAATATCTGAAGATCTGCTATGCCAAAGGTAAAGACTGGTCCTTCATTGCTCCCGAGGGCAAACCCAGGGATGGAAATCATAGGGAAATGGGTCTTGGACAAGCTTTAGAAGAATTAATTGAGGGTTTAATGAAGTACGCAGACCCAGAAGATGAGTTCATTCTACAACAAAGTGTGTTGTGCAAACCCAACCTAAAACTTTCTGATTCTGTTTCTGCACTTGAAGCAACAAAGCAACAAAAATGGCAAGCAGTCAATACAGTGAATACACATTTATCACCTTTTTGTCCAGTTTTCTTTCACTCAGAATGCATCTACACCAGAATGGCTGGTGTATCCTCCACGTTAATCGCGTGCTGCAAACTGCAATTCTGCTTTTGTGACTCCTCCCCCCATCTCCACACAACTAAATTCAGATTAGCTAAAAGCATATGAATTGATGCTTTTAAGAATTGAATGTTTGGAAAAAAATCTATAAATATTATATATGACCCCCTCTCTCTTTACACACACACACACACATACAAAGAGAGAGAGAGAGAGAGAGAGAGAGAGAGAATCTGACTTACTGCAGCTGCAGCAGATCAAACTGAACAGGACTGCAAGGGAAATCACTGTCATTTCTTTCACTCAGGGATATCTCTTAACACAAGAACCAATCCTGGTCTGAGTTAATTCTTTCCTTCCTTCCTTCCAGCTATGCTGCTAATTCTTCATCTGGTCCAAACTCTGGCCACCAAAAACTCTTAAATCTAAAGGGGATGTCACTGCCCACCCTGCTCTTATTGGAAAGCAATCCCCTCTCTCATTTAGTCTCCTCCCCTATGACGGAATCCTTACTGTAGTATTTTCTTAGGCATTTTGTTTCATTTTCAAACTGGTGTGTGTGTGTGTGTGTGTTAAAGTTAACACTCTCCTGTGCCTCCAGTAGTCACCTCTGATGACTTTTTGCTAGATTCCAGTTATGAGCGACTTAGCCAAGAATGTATGCATCATTCCCAAACAGGAACAGACTTCAAACTCATACTACTAATGCTGTTGATTTCAGCCCCAAATAATACAAATTCAGTCCTAGGGTTCATGAGGGCTGGTTAAAATAATTATTATCCAATATTGGAAGAAGAAATCTACATTTGATTTGCAGCAATATGTGTTTGTTGTCAACAATTAGAAGAGTTACCATTACTATTTTGACAAAAGGCAAGGAAAAAGACTTTCAAGCAATATGGTCACATTTCTCAGAGCTGTTTTTCTAACAACATTTTCCAGGCTTTCCCTCTTTGTTTTAACCCTTTTATTATTTTTCTTCCTAATTACTGTAATCACTAATTTTGTGGTTACATTATATTGTTCATTCTGCTGCATGTCCGTACACTTTTTCTTCTGTCGATTATCTGTTGTAAAAACATACTGGCAAAATAATAAAATGCCCCATAAATTGCTGTCAGTGCCAAGAAAAAAAACATTTAAACCCCCCCCAAAGCAAAACAAAAAACATTCAATCAGCCCAAATGCGGCTTCTCCACAGGCAAATGCTGTCTGTCAATTGCAGATTTAGAGTTAGGTATTGTTAGAAGTGACTCAGACAATAAGATGGGAGAATTAAATACCTCATCACTTCCTCAACAGGGGAGACTATCCAGTCTATGCTGCCTTTGATATAGAAAATCCAAACAGCTGATTAAGATGTTTCTCTTTACTCCTACAGGGAAGACTGTCGCCTATAAAGCCCTAGATGGCTTAGCTCTGGATTACCTTGGAACCATCTGCTCCAGGCTGAAGCTGCCCAGCCCAGCCGTGTGTTCCAGAAAGGAGAGGCTGGTTAGGGTCCTGCTCCCATGAGAGGTCAAAGGACCAAGGGCCCAAAGGCAAGCCTTCTCTGTAATGGCCCCCCACCCTGCTTTGAAACACTGCACACCCAGGATGTGCCAGGCACCTTCCTTCATCAAAACAATCCTGCTATGACAGGCTTTTGGGCAACTAATTATTGCATGCATTACTGCGTATTGATTAACATTCTTACAGCATAGGAATGCTTGTAAATGAATGAATGAATGCCAGACTCAGATTCTTGGCTCCAGGAAACCTGCCTTTTCTAACGTGGCACTCCCCAGATTTTTCTGAAATTGCGACGGTCAGAATTCCTGGCCAGTCTTTTGCTTTTTTTGAAATGGATAAGTAAGATAGAGACAGCATCTCTTCCAAAGTGATTGAATCCCACTCGGGGGGAGTCCTCAGAGGGCCTAGTCCATCTGCTGCTTCAGATCCACAATGTGAGTAACTCTATCCAAGGGTTTCGGGCTAGTGTGAGTGAGATCCGGATTCCATTGTCCGGCCTCTCTTACTGCCAATGTATTTCTTCTGATGTTCAGCAGAAAGTTGTCCTCCTATTTAAATAGTTGTTGTTGCTGTTTCAATCCTTTATTTTTATATGAGTGATAGAGAACATGAAGTCCTGTATCTGCTGCTTGTTTGCTTGTTTTTACTTTTTCTTTGCTTTTGAATAGCAAGATATGATAAAACCACAGTGGACAGCAGAGGCAGATGGGATCTCCCTTTTTCTATTAGAAACATGACAGATGCCCAAGAAGTACAAAATAATAGCTCAGGAAGACTAGTAGAACTTTAAAAAAAAAATCACTATAGAATAGAGTGGACAATCTTTATGTTTGGGAGGTATAGTTACAGGAAGGCTAAGATGGAGAATTTACCAATAATTTCTCTCTATCTGGCTAGGTTCCCACAATTTAACAAAACCTTGGTTAATGAAACAGTGAAACATGAACAAATGACCAAACCAGTGAAGCACATCAGAGATGAAACTGATGGCTGGCTCATGCTGATTCATCAACTGGCCTACCTTCAGCCTGTGCTAGTGTGTTGGGTGAACTCAACCTGCATATTAATGCGTGAGCAGATTATGTCTGAGTTCAAACCACTTTCAAACCAAAGCTCAACAAAATTGTCCTTTTTGGCGGAAGCCCTTTTTGGCCTCGCTGCCCAAGGCATTGAATTTGATACAGGTATGTTCATAATTAGAATATCCCCCTGGAAATCAATGGGCCTTAAGATTGCAATCTTGCCCTCTTGCCCCAATCCTCTTTCCCGTGTCTTTTCCTCCTACCCAGCTCTTTAAGCTGCTCTCTTTTAGGTGACCCCATTGTCAGATGATGGTTCCTTATGATCATTATTAGCACTTATTTTCTATCCCTGCATATTTTCAGTCCTTCCCCTGAAGCACAGGATGGGTTAAAAGGGCAGTGAAACTGCAGGCAGGCCAACAGGAGTTCTGCACAGCTTTTCTTGCCCTGTGCCAAATTTCACTGGTACCACCTTATCCTAAGCAAAGGCACAAAGATACAGTTCCAGCAGGGGCCCAGAATAACCTAAACTTCTTCCCTAAAAACAAAACAATAAAAAAGGAGAAGGGGGAAAAAAAAATCCCAGAAGACTTGACAATGAAAAGGAACCCATGCTTGCAGCTTCACATCAAAACTTTTCACTAACTTCAGTTAATGCCCCCAAAATTGATCTGAATAAATTATGTTTTTCTAGCAAATGCAAAATACATTCCTCTCCCTTCCTTAGTCTGCAGGCTTGACCCTGGATTCTAGACTTCTGAAGAGATTCTGATGCAGGTTGCTCTGAGGGTACACAGGTAGAAAAGTGGTGCAATTATCCAATATAAATTTAAGATAATTCCATTACCAGGTGGGTGTTGAAGTGGCAGGTCAGAAACTTGCTATTTACACTATTTTGTCACCTACATCTTGGCTCTTTTACTTCCCTAAGGGTTTCTACTCTCCCCGCTCCCCATTCCAAAACCTAAGCAGGTAAAAAGTTAAGCAGCTTTGGGGATGGTTAGTCTTGTGAGAAAATGACATGGTGATGGAAAAGAAAACCACAGCTGTTTTATCAAGACAATGGATGTGGACACACAGCCAATTTCCAGTTCTACCAGTACAGGTATATATTTCTGGCTTCCAGGGGCATACACATTTTACTGTGGGGGAAGATCATACAGCAAGTGATGGGAAAGTTCCTAAAATGCTAGAAACCCCCATTGGAGGTGGCATTATGGTTGAGCTCATACAATATATTAAACTTAAGTTATGGAAACATAATGGCTATGTTCACAGAGCATGCGATTCTTCCCCATCCCTGGCCAAGACCATATTACAGCTTAATACATGGCCAGATTCCCACAACATGTTGAACCAGGAACTACCAGCCCCATTTTAGCCTTTAGTGTAACCTTTGGGAACTCAGGAGAATTGGTCTGACTTGGTGGAAGTAACGCACTGAAAATAAAACTGTTTTCCATTAGTCTGTATAACAGCTAAAGTGAAGACTAGGTACAGATTTCAGTTCCATCACAATCATGACCTGACCGCATCCCTCATCCCAAGCTCCCTTACAGTGTTGATGTGAAGATACAAATGAGGTGGGGAAGAAGGGGGAGATTAGGGAAGAACTTTCTAGTCTATGTTACCTTCTGCTCCTTGGAAAAATGGCACAAAATAGAACCAAGAAACATTTTGGAATTCCAGAGGTCTCTTTATTCACCTCTTACTTTATATGAGTGTTTCTTGCATTACAGTACCTTCAATTTCCTTAAAAGGGTGGAACCTTCTGTGTAGACACAACAGGAGCGTAAAGCAGGTAACTTTTGAGCGGGTATAGCTAAGATTGTCCCTGTCTTGCAATCTCAACGTAATGCCCAAAGCTGACCAGCTGGGGGCATACCAATTCACAGATATTAATTATGAAGGAAATCAGATGTCCAGGCTAAAGACTAAAATTCCCCCTTTTTGGCTTTGTTAGAAGCTTCATTTCTGATTCCCGGACACTCTTTTTTGATTCTAAAAAGCCACCCCCATTTCAAGCAGAGATTTAAAAGCCTAGCACAAAAACTGCAAAATTCTAGAGACACGTCACAATGTTCTCTGCTATTGTCTAAACTTCCATCAGATATATTTTTCAATAGCGGGGGAAAATCCCCAAAATTTGGCGGGCAGCCCTGTCTGGCCATGATATGCTGGCAGAAATATTATCCACCCAGACATTTAGCCTTCCTTAGCTGTCCAAGGCCAGAACTGCCACATGCTGATTCCAGTCTGGCTACTTAACATAGATTTTATCATTTGTTCATTAATGTAGTATTCAATTCAGGCAGCAAATCAGAAGGAAAAAAAAGATTATGGTAATAAGGAGGATCCAGATCATCCATGTTCTGATAATAGTACAGTAGTGGCAACATGTTCCAAGAATGCAACACTAAATTGGTTCTATTTGGAAGATTATGGCAGATTACAAATAGTATTTTCATACTATTCAAGTTGATGTACTAATCAATAGGCTAAGCTGTGCCCTTGAATCACAGTGCTAGGGGAAAGCCAGCATCTCAAAATGTTGTCCTCTTACAGGGCTCAAACTTACTGCTTTTGCATCTCTGTTTAACTCTGTCCTTACTAGTGTTTCTATAAATGTCATTCTCACATTTGTTTCTGACCCCTTAAGATTTTATTTATCTATTTATTTATCAAACTTGTATGGCCGCTCATCTCACAAAAAAGTGACTCTGGGCAGCGTACAATACTTAATTAAAAAACCAATACATGTATAAAAACATTCATTATAAAAACTATAAAAGATGAAAAGAGAGCCAGTTTGGTGTAGTGGTTAAGGCGTCAAGC